CAAATCTGCCTGCACTTGCTGTCCTAAGGACTGAATGCAGTGATTGATGTAAAATGCTTGGCACACAGTAGGTGGTGAGTTCACCTCAGTTCCTCCTCCCCTTCCTTCAGGACAGGAATTGTCAGAGCACTCTGTACCCTCTGGCTTCCGTCCAGGATCTGAAATATGCTGGGCACATAATTAATTTTTAGTAATAACTTGATAAGTAAATCACAAACTGGGCTTCTGTTTACAGGCTATTCTTAAAGCTTAATATTTGTAAAAATCTGATGGACACTCTGCAAAATGGAAGTGCTGAAGACAAACGCAGGATCGATGCCATCGACATTCTAGACAAAGTCAGACTGGGGCTAGTGTCGAGTTGGATTATACCAGGAAAATGTGCTCTTCTCTAGGCCAAAGGCTAGGACGTTGGATGGAAAATGAACCCCTCAGACAGAGAGCTGACAGGTTTTCTGGGTAGACGCAGTGCAGGCCAGTCCAGGCTGGGCTTGAGCCATCAGCTGGGGCCAAGGCACTGTCCAGTCCTTGGGATCCCAACATTATCATGACATTAATCACCAATTTGTGCTTGGACAGGCAACTGGAAATGTTATGATGCACTGGCAGAGCTTGGGGACAGCGCTTGGGCAAGCCTGAAGTAGACTGCAAACTTTGGCCTCTTAGCAGAAAAATCGAACATCTCCCCAGGTTCCCCATGTTCTCAGGCCTCTCTTTGCTATTGGGGATATGCTGGGGGGAGCTGGGTGGCAGCAAAAGAGCATGGATTTTAATAAACTCCCCGTCTTCCACACACAGGACGCTGTGCAGCCACGAAGGTAATAAGATACATCTATATATGCTGGTAGAGAAATCCGCCTTGGATCTACTGTCAAGTGAGAAAAGCAAAGTGTGTGAAACGGCATGATCTCATTTTTTAAAATTAATATGCATCCACACACATCTATTTACTTATTTGGTTAACAACTGTTAACAGTGGTTACTAATAGAGATTTGGGGGAGGGAGTGGCTTCTATTTTGTACACTTCAGTATCATTTGATTGCTTTTATAACAATGTGCATTACTTGCATGATTTTAAAATAAGATTTTACTTTAGTTTCCTAGAAAACAGTCACTGAACATGTAATAAGAAGCTTGGAATGATTCACATTTAGCTCAAATTTTAATGAGCATCTACTCCGGATACAGGACACGGTTCCTCCCCCATACAGATGAGCTGACAGATACTCACGTGTGTAGTTCACTATACTAGGATGCCTCCTGGCAAGGGCAGAGATAAATGCCATGATGCCAAGGGCTGTCACTGGTGGAGGGCTTACTATGTGCAGGTGCACTATAACTCTTCTCTACTAAATCCTTAGGATTGACTCATTCAGTTATCAAATACTCCAGCACTTATGGTGTGTCATGCACATGCTGGGTGCCTGGTTCACATTCATAAAGAAATAGACACAGCACCTGCTCAATGGCATCTCACAAATGAGAAATTTATCAGTTAGGCGACTTTCTCAAGGTGACTCATCTAATAATGGAAGATGGGCAATTAATTTTGACCCTGGTGGTCTGGAAGTCCTCCCTGACGGAAGTGACATTTGACCCTCTTCTTAAAGAATGAATAGATCTGGAGAGACAGACTAGAGGGCATGCCAAGACAAAGGACCAAGTGGGCAGAGGTCGAAATGGAAATACAGAGCAGATTCAGGGTAGAGTGGTGGTTCCAGAGCAACTTGAGGGCAGGGTGGACGGGGGAATGGAGAGAAACCAGCGGGACGATCTGCCGAGGTCAGATTGCATGGGGCATGAGTGCCTTATTAGCAGTTTGAATTTTATCCTGAAGGCTATAGGGAGCTATGATTCTTCTGTTTGTTTGATTCCCTCAGGGGATTGATATGATCAGACAAGCTCTAGAGAGGGGAATAGTATGGCCTAGAGCAGTCAGCCTGGGTTCATATCCCAGCCTGCCACTCAGGCTCTAGAATTTTGGGCAAGAGACTTTAACTTCTCTTCCTCTTAGTTTCTCCATCAGTCAAATGGTGATATAATAATATTGCTGGCATCAGAGTGATTGTAAGAATTCAATGTCCTAATATATGAGAGGGTCACACGAGTGTTGGGAGTGTAATGACAATAAATAAATGTCAGTTATTACTCTTGCTTCTCTGGTGTCTGTGCCAAGGATGGAGTCAGGTAAGATGGAAGGCAGGAGGCTACTGCAACTGTCCAAGATGAGATGAGGTCCTGAACTGTGAGGATGGAGAGAATGAAAGTATGGAAACAACGTGGGAAGGTGGAGAGGACAGGAGCAGGTGAATGGCTAGCCAAGAGGGAGGGGGAGGGAGGAGCCCAAGATGATTTGGGTTCCTAGCAGAGGTGGCCAGAGGATGGCGTGGCTAGCAGAGCAGTGAGTGTGGTAGGGAAGGCACTAGGTTTGGACTGGGGCCATGTTTCAAGTGACTGGGAAACCCACATATTGACGTCCATCAGATATAATCAAGAACTTCATTTGATTAAAAAACAAAGGCCCTTCCGTTTTACCCTCGGCATCTCTGAACCATGAGCCCTGTGGTCTCAGGATACGTCTAAGGGAAAACAAGAGTGGGACTGCAGCCTGAGAGCCTGAGAGTGGATCCTGAGACGGTGTCTGCCTTTGGGTCCCTTCTGTCCATGCTGCCTACCAGGTGTACCCTGTTATTAAACAGTCAAGCCGCTCTGCATTAACTCTGTATCTTACAAATGGACCAGAGGCTTCGATCCAGTTTGTCCATCCAGTACAGGCCTTCCGCTGGAAATAACATGTTTCCAAAAAGAGCGTCAAAATTACTTTTTTAAAAAAATTAGCCACGTGCCTATCAAATCTCTTTAGAACTATCGAAAACAAAACCAAGTAAACAAGCCATTACAAATAAAAACGAAAAGTCAGAGGCCACCATAGCATACATGGAGAGAACGGGGACCTAAAAATGAGCAGGCCTGGGTTGGACAGCGCAGCCCAAGTGTGCACCACACTTCTCGTGAGCCTGTTTCCTCACATGGAACTCAGGGGTGAAGATTTATGACAATGCCCACCACAGGGGTTGTGACAGGGAAGTAATATCACAAAGTCACCTCAATGAACGTTAGGTCGTCCCCCTCCGCCAACAGTCAGAGGGTGAGACCAGTCCAGATGCAAAGTTATGTATTATTAGTTTCCAGCAATATGACTATGATTCACATTATTTTACTCCAAATTACCAACAATGTAGGCTGTGAGACCTATATTCTCTGTATTTACACCAAGACCCTGGGAAGAGCTACCTTTTGACAGAAATACACACCAGATGGGCAGGGCCTCCTCCTGGGCTCCGTATGGGAAGTTTTGAGGGTGACAGACTGCTCAAGAGCACGCAGGCTCAACTGGACATGGTATCGCCGTCTGCCTGCCAGGGACAGGGACAGTAAAGGAAGCACATCAGAAACACATGGTCATGCTTGATCAAAAAGGGGGAGAGAAACAGTAAAACAGCAGTTCTTTAATGACAGAAATCTCCTTTTATTTCATCATCACAGAACTTTTTATTTTTTTAAGAAAAGAATTTCAGAGCTTCAATTCATTCCTCACTGGGGACCTAACTCCTGGTAAGAAGAGCCTAGGCGATCTAAAAGGCACGGTTACCCTCTGTAGTTCGCCGAGGTCCCAGCCCAGGACCCCAGGACAGAGGCCAGCATTCCTTCAGGGTACGACTCGTGTGATTACCACTTGGAAGAACTACACAGAATGGCTGAGGGTGCGCAGATTTCTCTCCTGTGGTGTATAAGGAGCCACGAGAAAGGCCAGAGCTCGGAGGTGCCTCACACAAACGGAGAGCACTGGGTCAGGGCAGAGAGATGGCAGAGGCAGACACCAACTCAGAAGGGTCTTCAGCTGAGCCCTACAGGCAATGAGGTCCCCCAGCTGTCTTCCCAGAGCAGTCAAGGGAGTTGGAGGCTGGAAGCTGCATGAGTCACACCTGCATGTCTGCAGAGATCTAGGGGTCACTGCAGAGAGTTCTTCTGGGTAGAAGGCAGGGCAGGGAGAAACCCAAGCAGATAGGAGCTTGAGCTTTGCTGCTTCTCAGTACCTATCCACCTTCCACTGCAAGTGGACAAGCTCTGCGTCAGGCAGACCTGGGTTCAAGTACTGCTTTGCCATCTTTCGCACATTACTTGCCCGAAGTTGTTTGAGCCTGTTTCCTTGTCTTTAAAGTGGGGAGGACTAGGCTGTTGGGAGGACTAAAGGACGTGATGCATGTAATCACATCAGCCATTACTGGGGCACTAGAGGTCGTTACTCTCTCTCTGAGCTCACACTTGGGAAGCTCTTCCCATGCTAGGCCCAGGGGTCAGTGAGATGACAGACTTCCACTGAGAGGCACTACCAGAGAACAAACAGAGGGCACTTCCTCCTCCCCAACGGCGTCCCCTTGGGAGGTCAGTTTCTTTGAAAGGAGCTTTTACTTGGGGGCTTTCACAGGCTTTACTGTTCTGCTGCTTTAGTCAAGAAGCTCCCACTTGAATTTGACCATGTGATTTTTTTTTTTTTTTTTTTACCATGTGACCCCTTTCTGCCAAAGCACCTCCCTTCCTGTGACACCAAGACACTAACAAGGCAGCTACATTGCCCATGTCCATCCCGGGCTGCAGAGCCATGTCTGACTCCAGCCCCAACTCTGGACCCATACTGCTTGGGTTAATGTGACAGTGGTTACCGGCAGGCTCTGAACCCAGGAACCCCAAAAGAGGACACGCAGATGAGATCAAAGTGACACTGTCTCTCTGGGCCCAGCCTCCTTGCATTTCCTTTTGCCTTATTTGTCTGGAGGAGCCAGGAGTGGGTAGATGGCAAACTCCAATGGTCTGCATGACTCATTTCCTTCTTGGAATCAAGAGCATGTGTTGGTGCGAGCGAGGCCCATGAGGGGGGCACCAGATGCCCCGGGATGAAAAACAGCAAGTGGGGCCGCCTCCGAGCCATACAATGAAATGAATTTCAACAAACATTTATTGAGTGCCCAGTACATCAGTTCTTTGGGAATGAAAAGAACAAGCATAAGGGAAAGAAGAGCTATTATCCATTTATTATATACAATATTAAGGCACAAGTTTAAGCAGCAAAGAATAGGAAAATCTTTGGCTGACTAACAGTGTCGGTATTTGCTGTGGGGGACACACCACGTTCTCGGACTCCCCCCACTCTCTACGCAGACCCACCCGGCTGTGCAGCTCTGTACAACCCCCTTCAATACAGACCAGCAAGATGAAGATGCCAAAATGTTACCCCCGAGTCCACGGGAGAGCACACAGCACACTGCCACAAAGCACAATGACACACACAGGGCAGGCGCAGGGAGCGGTGGCATGAGGGCTGTCCTAGCTTTGGCTGAGGTGAGTGCAGGCGCCCGCCCTTGTTTCGCAGAATTCCACATATTCTGTACGTGCCTCGTTGAGAAGGAGGTTCCGCTGTTGTCCCTCCGCAGAAGGGAGAAACACCTTAATTCAAAGAGAACCACTGTGGATATAAATTTGCTTATATTTTGTTTTGTAATAAATACTTACAGGTATCTATAAGTGAACAGAATCCTAGGCAAAAGCACATGTAAACACACCACTGGGCATCAAAACTTCAGGATCTGATACAAGAAAATGCTGTATATGTACTTCATTATATTGAGAACAGTATTTTAATTCTGTAAAGAAGCAAAGTTTCGTGATAAACACCTCAGTCAGAGCATAACATGACAATAACATGCACTAAATATAACACGGCTTTACAAGGTACCTACTGGAGTTTTATACTAATGAATACGCACCTACATCTGTGTGTGCACAGAGATGTGAACACATACAAGGCATGGCAAGAGAACAGATTTTTAAAAACAAATTCACTAGAAGTTCCACGTACTAACGACGAATGTCCTCCTTCGAAGCAGTCTCTTCGAGAGGCTCTAGGTTTTCAAAGACTCATTCCAAGGAACATCTTAGGGTTCTTTTTTTTTTTTTAAGCTAAAATGGTGTGACTGACTTTAATCACGTGTCTTTACTTATCCAACTGAGTCAATGACTTGGGTTACTTCCAAATTTAATTCCATCCTCAAAGGATGAAGATTTCTCATCTCTAAGAATAATCAAAGGAAACTACTAGACCCCAAAGGCCATTCTAACAGAGGCATTTGCAAAATGTTTCTATTTGGGTAGCACTTCAGTGATCAATACAGTCTCTCAAAGGGTTACCTTTTAAGGAAGATGGGGTGAGATGAAACGCTTAGATCTTCTGGATATTAAGAAAGGAAACTTGACACACAGCCTTATAGTCACACCTCACATATATGCACATACATAGACACACGTCTTTATATACCATTAAATTACTAAATGAGAGAAGGATATATTACTTAAAAGGAGGAGAAAAAAAATCGCCCATTAGTTCCAGAAGAAATCCACTTACGGAAATGCTGACCTTACATGCTCCCAGCTGATCAGCTTCCGGTAACTTCTTAATTACTCTGCCCATCTCTCAAGGAGCCACACATCAGAGGCAAACCCATTAAACAATCCTCACATTGAATGAAGACATTTTAAACGCAGAGATTAATTAACAAGAAAAAAGAAAAGAAACCCAACATTTATAAATCATATGCCATGGCTGCTTCAGGTTTGGGGACGTGAAGAAGCCAACTGTGGGCTGGATGTTCTCTGGTACCTAAGGCCATTACCATTTAAGGACATTCACGGGCTCCTGCTTACCAAGACCATGGTCCTTTGCTTAGGAGGCAAGGTCATTCGGAGCACAGACACACACTCCACTGGCGCCAATGCAGACAGGTAGCGGGACTTTGGTTTTGGAAAACACACCTCTTTGCCCAGCATAGCTCCCCGTGTGTAAGTGTGAGCTCTCTGCCTCGAAGCCTTTTAAACCCCTAATCTATTCTTCACTCCTCCTGGGAACCCAGGAGTGACGTCTGTCTTCGTGTCAGTCTCTAGACTCAGAAGCTGCTGAACAGGGAGAACCTCTCATTCCACCCACACGGAGCATAAAGGTGCTTCAGCCACTGCATCATGAGGATACAGGTGGCTGAGGGCAAACCCAGGAGAGAACAAACAGGACCAGCTGCTCTGCAGGGGGCATCCTGACAGCCTCTTCCCTGAACAACAGAACCAATGAATTCCCTGTTTCAAGTTCAGAACTCTTTTGGAGCAACTATCTCGATATCCAACCTGAGCCCTGTGCAGTCAAATTCTCACGAGCTCCAATGAGCAAGCCCGGCAGGACTGAAGGAAAAAGGCCCATCACTCTCTGCCCTCCAACTGGAACCCTGGATGGGACGTGGCAGCCCTGTCCAGTGTTCCACCCTGCTGGAACAGGGTGGACTCAATGCCATCACTGGCTACCAATCTCTGGGAAGCAGAAGAAAGGCTGAGAAAAGAAAATGCCAAGGAAAGGTTCTGTATCTGCTCTGAAATTAGTTGCCAGAATCCAGCAATACCACCTAGTCTATATAATAAACCCTGGACAGCATGCAGAAGCTGCCAGATGACACATTCTAAGAGGAAGCAGAATCACTCTGGCACGTCTTCACACAAAGCTACAGCCTTTACCCTTCGCACTGAGATAAGACCTGCAAGTTCCATAATTAAGACACCGTTGGGACATTCTGCTGAAGTCCAGGCCTCTGGACAATGTGCAAGTATTTCTTTAAATGGATTTTGTAGCCCTGCTTATTATAGAACACAGAGATCTCCATCTATGCCTGGTGTTTATGAACAAATCTAGGAATTCCGGGCTGTAGTCCTAATTCTTAGTTCCCAAGACTGGGGCAGCTGTGTGCGTGCATGCGTGTGCACACACATCGGAGACGGGGATAGAGCAGGCCAAGGCGTGACACCAGGAGACAGTTGTTATTCCCGTGTCAGAGGCAGTCCAGCCTGTGATGAAGGCCCAGCTCGTCTTCAAACCCGTGGTTCAGATCCCAGCTTCTCCTGGCTGCAAGGCTTTGGGAGGGGACTTAACCTCCCTGAGCCTGTTTCCTCCTGTGAAATAAGGATGATAAACTTGCCCCTGCTCCTAGGTGGCTTGAGGACTCTTATTAAAAGGTACTTACCACAGTGCTCACATACAGTCAGCACTGAAAAATGAGCTAGAATTATCTTTCTGAAAATTAAACGAGATAATACATTGTGAACCACTCAGAACGCACAGTGGGTGCTCAGCCTTGGCCATCCCTCTCTCCTACATATAAGCAAGGCTTTAAAAAGCTATGAAGATGTAAAGTGTCAGGGGCCCTGGCTTGGCAGGAAATGTCCCATAAAGAAGACTTTTTAAAGCTGTAGATCCCTTTTCTTATGGAAGAGTCATAGCAGGTTAGAAGAAAAAAGATTGATAAAGACCACAGCACAACTGAAACATGGTGATGCCTGTGCTTGCACTCTGACGCTCTGCCTGGCAATTCAGGGGACCGAGGAGTGTGTGCCAGCCTGTTGCTGGAGTGTGCCAGCGAGGTATGCTGAAGACGAGGTCTGGGCAAAACTAGACTGTGGTTCTCTCTCACCCAATTCTAGGGAAGGCAGCCCAAGTTTGGGGTGGCCCAGACGTAAGCAGGGGGAAGGGCAGGCAGCAGGTGGGGTGCTGGCAGAGGTGACTTGCTCTCTTATCTCTAGACACTTTCTTGTCTTCCTGGTACATCCTCAGCATTAATCAGGGGTCAGATGTCCTTGAGAGCTGGCTGCCATCTATTGACTCTCATCACCCATAAAAAGTGATGGGAACAGAGATTGGGATGAGACCCTCCATCCCATCCACACCAGCAACCATATCAACCCTTTCCTCACTAATGGAACCTCTGTGCTCTCCCCCACACCCTAGGGCATTCAGCGGGCTCCTTGGCCCCTGGAGCTGCTTCAGTTTCCCAGGCTGCACAATGCTCAGTGACGCTTAACCTGGGACTGAAAGGTGACAAGCATGGAGCACAAAGCTCAGTGCCCGCCGCAGAGCAGAGCCCAGAAGAGTCAGTTCCTGCTTACTGTCAGGCTGGACAGCTCTGAGGCCCCTCTGGGCAAAGCCATTGGTTTCCTCCCTCCCCTTCTCTAGCTGACATCTTTGCCATCCTTCTGTCTCCTCAAGCTGGGGAGGCTATAACTCCACCCAACTTAAACTCCAAAGACCAACGTCAAATAAACTACCCAAGCAAGATTTCCTGAGCAGTGTTGTCTTCAGGATTTCATTTGGGTGGGACCTGAAAGTCTCAGATCTAGAACTTCCCACCCCCACCCCACATTTAAGCACAAGGAAAGTGACCTGGAATGACATGCATCCAGTTGGCCTGGAGGGAGAAAAACATCAGGGCCCTGTAAGAACATCCGATGGCCTGGTCAGCTTCTCCTCTTTTCCGATCCAGCACATCCTAGATTTATAAAGAAAGCCGTATCTCAGGAGTTAGACGTGAACTGTCACACACAGGGATAAAGGGACCCACTCCTCACTCACTCCGGGCTCTTTAACATGGTATTTCCATCTTACTTTGAACAACTTGCCCCAAACTGAAACCTACAAAAACCTGACCACATTGTATATAAACTGGCCTGTAAGGTCACAGAGCAAGCTCATGACAGAGGAAAACCGAGGAAAACCGATGTGTTAACACACGAGCTGACAGTCACGGGAACCTACGTGCTCGTCAGCAGCGAGGGATGGGAAGGGTGAGGAATGTGCTTCCGAGCCACAAACACTAGAAAGTGTACAAGGTGCCTGGTGAGGTTCTGGATGCCATCACGCCAAGTGTCATTTGTTTCCCGGAGTGCAGTCCTGAAGGTCTGACCCCCACGGAGAAACGGTGGAAATACCAAGCTCCGTGCATGAGAGGAAAAAGCCAGGGCTATCATCTTAATGCAAGGTGTCACACTGACCATGGACCTTCTGCCTTGTCAAAGTCAGAACAGAATTAATAGCTGCAGCCCAACTACTTGAAGGTGGAAGAATCAGCCAGGAAGCCAGCCTATGGTTTTGTCCCACTGGTCACTATTAAACACAGCAGGAAGGGTGACAGTTCAGATACTGCTCTAATCAATCCCAGACCTACCCTGCCATATCTTAATTAAAAAGGGGGGAAAAAAAATGAAGGAAAAAAAGAGTAAAGAAAATGAAGCAGAGACAGAAATGAAGTCAGAGAAGTTAAGGAGGATGAGCGCCAAGATCAAAATGCCCCCATCCTGTTTAGAAAATACTGCTGAGTCCACAGAAGCTAAGAAGTCCCTAAATCTCCTGAAAACCCAAACCAAGCAGGTAACTAGATGAGGACCACGTTTTAAATTGCCTGTTGCCCCTGGTTATTTCTTCTCAGACCTTCACAGGACACCCCATGGATGGCACAGGATATTACATCTAGCCCGGATGGGCTCTCCAAGATTCTAGGAGGTTCTGCTTAAACAAAAGATGCTAAGAGGCAAGGGGAATAGGGGTATTCCAAAGAAGATCCACGTTCAGGTTTATCTGGTTTATAATCAGAGAATGGGTGTACACGGATCCTCCCCATGAGATACATTTTCTGTACAATGAAAAATTCCATTTCCTATTTCTTCTTTGTTCCAAACCTACATGCATCGTCTCTCTTCCACCATATGCAATAAAAATCCATAACCTTCTCTTCATCTTCACTCATGTAGGTCTCCTGTTTTTTTTTTTTAAACATATATAAAAAGTGTTCTTATTAATCTGAAATCTTTATCAGTTCAAATCATTCTTGATTTTCCAACCACAACCTTCTTGATCTTTCTTCTCCCTCTTTGACATGTTCCTCATTTGTCCATGTCCCGTCACGAAATTCAACAGGGATGCCAGCATTAAATGAGAACTTCCATCATCTCCCCGTCAGGGAACTCAGGCTTGTGGAGCAAGCTGCTGACTCGGCCTTTGTGGTCAGGTGACTTCCCGTGGCCGGAAGAGTTCTCTGCCAAACAGAAGGGTAACATTGGCAGCCTGTTCCTCAAGAGGGGCACGGGTCTTACTGGCTTTCTCTAAAATAAAACTATGTCAAGTACCACCACTGACCATTTGTATATGTAGGGAAGGCCACATAACCCGGCCCGTGGTGGAGCCAGGTACTTTACTTCCCCTGCCTTCCTTGGAAAAGTTCATTCCAGAAATTAAATCTCTAAAAAAAAAAAAAAAAAAAACCCCAATAATGCTGTATACTTGTCTATTTTTGTAGGATGTAAATAAAGAGCCCCCTTGGCGAAAATTATTAACTTAGGCCCCCACCTCCTCAGAAGAACTCCTGAAGAGGGTCGTGCCCATGACTAAGACTCACTCCCTGACAAAGTCAAGTGCACTCTTCCCCTGGATGCTTCTGGGCTCATTGAAAGCTCGCCCCTCCCACACTGACTGACCTCTACAATTGTTTTAAAGCGACTCATCAGTGCTGGTCTGAGTGCCATGCCAGAAGTTCCCCTCCTCTGCCCTCTCCTTTGGTCAGGAGGTGCTCCAGACCCCAAACCCTTGCCGAGCAGGCACCTTGAAGGCCCCATCTATGTACTTCATGCCTCTGATGCACCTGGTGCCAGCTCTGCGACATTCCTCGGAGTACCTATTTCCGCTCCTTCTGGGGACGGCCTGGTAAAAAGCATACATTCACAGGCACGCTCCAGTTGTGTATTCCTTTAAATGGTAATGAATTAGGCGTATCTACACATGTTTTATTCCCATAAGAGCCCATGTGGCCTAAGTGCATTAGGGTAATCATAATCATTAAAAAAACCCAACATACCATAAAGTGAGAGCTGATTAGGGCTCCTGATCCCTCCCCTGCTCGACACCAGGCTTCCTCTCTCAGGCCAGGGAGCCCTACAGTTACCCCACAATGTAAAAGGAGGTGGGAACCTCTTACCCAGCTTCTCTGCAGTCCCCTTGGCGGCTGGGTGTTTCAGGACCGGGCTGTTAGAAGGGGTTGCGCTCAGCCTCCCGCGGTTGGGCAGGGAGGCCATGTTGGGCCAGAAGAGTTCAGTGCTCTTGTCCGTCTGGGTGCTGCTGTCCTTGCTGCCCGTCTTCGCGTGGGCGCTGCTGGTCCCTGTCGAGGACAATGCTGCGGCAGGTGGGGTGGGCAGCACGGGGGTGGAAGCGTGTTCATGGTGCTCCTTCCCCAGCAGCAGCCCTGAGGGCAGAAAAACAGCTTTCTCAATGCCATTCTTTAAACCAAAACAAACAAAACTCCCTGGTCTTAAAGATCTTTCCCTTCTTGACTGAAGATCATTTAATTCGTTCATTGATTCATTCATTCACCAAATGCTTTCCTAAGCACTTATTATGTGCCTGATAAAACGACAAGCACTGAAGAAATTAAAAAAAGACCTAGTCCCCTCCTTTATTTTTGAGGGGAGGAAGAGTTTTCAAGTAAATTGGTTACAATATAATATGAAAAATAGTAGGATAAAATTATTCTCAGGGTGGTAAGAGGTGCCCAATAGCCAGTGTCAAGGGGTGGGGGCATTTCTGCAAGGCTTTCTAGAGTTGAAGCTTGCTTTACCTAACATGGCCTGGGAGGGCTGGCCCTGAGCAGTGGCTGTGTGCTCATGAAAAACTAGATGCTTCCCAGGTCCCAGACATGGTCCCATGGGCCTACTGTGCTTCTGAATGGCCCACAATTCTACCCCGCATTGGTACTGGAGAGTCTCCTGCAGGCCCAGGCTCAAAAAACAAGCACACTTCCAGGTCAGATGCCCATGAGTTGTGCATCTTCTCAAAAGAGATCCCTGCAGTCAAGAACCCTGGCCTCAAGAAGCAGGAAACTAGCTGGATTCCTCCACTCCACCTCGAGCAGACAGGCTGTCGGAAGGGAGGGCGTGCTGGCTAGGGAAAGGGAGGCATGATGGACAGTGCTGTCCCTTTTCCTCAATGTCTTCCTGCAGAGCTGGACAGGAGAGCAACTTTTTAAATTTTTAATAGTGAAATATGGCACAAGATCAGAAGAGTGCCAGCACCCCAGAAAACAAGCCTATAGAAAATGTGGTCAGCACAATCAACTATTTGTGTTCATATATGTATACTCAATTAATTAGTCAGCAGTTCATAAAGTACCCTTACCAGGGCTGCAAGGTGCCCATTAATAACTCAACACAGAGCAATTCAGTTTGTCCACGGCAGTGCTTCTCAAATGTAATGTGCCTATCAGTTACTTAGTTAAAACGGAGATTCGATTAAGTGGGCAGGGCCTGAGATGCTGCTTCTCTAACAAGCTCCCAGAGGATGCCCATGCTGTTGGTCCATGGACCACACTCTGAGTAGCCAGGGTCTTCGGCTAGATGCTTCACACACATCGTCTCACTCTATATTTCACAACAGTCCTATGAGACAGGTTCTGTTGTTATCCTCTGTTTTACAGAAAAGCAAATGGAAGCTCAGAGAAATTAACATCTCATAGCTAAAAAGCAGCAGAAATGGGATTTGAACCCAGACGTGCCTAATTTTAAGTCCAATCTGTGTTCTTCCCATTCAATCAGCTGCCTGTCAAAACTCTGCAGCCTGACAAGGATGTTCTTGTGAAACTAAATCACTAGCCAATCATCTCACCCGGGAGCCCCTGAGCCACGAGGAAGGTATACACTGTCACCTCTATTTCCTCAGAGCCCATCAGGCAAGAGACTACCTATGGAAACAGTTTGGGAACCACACAGTGGCCCATGAATGTGTGGCCCCTCAGACAGTCCCTCTCTGTTTCTGTGACATGTGGATGACAATTATAATGACAACGTGCAGAACACAGCATTTCTTCCTGCAGACCAGCTCCTCAGGCTCCCAGGCCTGGCGTAGATGTGCCAAACGCTAGAGGATACCGGCACAGACCCCAGAGAAAAGCCTGCCTGGCTGGATGTCATGGATGAGCCTGAGCACATTTCAGACTTCTTTAATCAGGCCTGAGTGTTGCCTCCCAGGCTCTCTAACTGGGGTGGTGAGTTAAGTGTCCTTGGGAGGGTCTTTGATGATCCCAGCTGCTGTCCACACACGTCCCCTTTGAAGTCCATTTCCTTGGAGGGCAGGGGCTGCTGAAGCAACCCGTGGAGGAACTTCAAACAGGGATTCTGGCTGGGCCCCTTTGATCCCCTCCACTCAGGTTCATGCTGGAAGCTCTCATCCCATTTGGCACAAAGCGGCCAGGCTCCTCTGGGGTTCTGTGCTGACAAAAACTGGCTCTCGGCTCCACAGATAAACAAAACACACGCTGACCGGGGAAGTGCATCAAAGGAGGGCCAGACT